CGTTTTTGCGTTATGTACCACCAGCAACACTGAAACGAATAACGCCCATATGAAGCCCATTCGTGCGGTTAGCAAAGAATCGATACTGGTGCGCTGTCGCATCGATCAGAATCAAATGTAAACACAAGGATTTGCGGAATCATCATCAATAAAAACATTGAAAGAACAAAGACTCGTAAAGTTGCCGAAAACTCTTCAACAGCCCACGACCAGTTTCGCCCTTGTTTATTTGTCACTTAACCGCTCAGACAGGACAAACAGGAAGCTTCATCAAAAATCCATCTATCCAAATGAACTGAGGTCATAGCCAAATGCTCTCACACAGAAACGGTGGACTGTAGAACGCAGCAACTCCGGCGGGGGGGAGTTCGCTACAATGTGCGTTCTCAGGGTTTGTCTCGACCTTTCCATCAGTTCGAAGCGTGCTCGAAGTTGAAAGGTTCCGGAATGGCTGACCTGAAGTATGTCAGGCCGCGTCCAGACCTGGAAAAAGCACTTGTGCATAGGACGGCGCATGCCCGAGGTCACCATCGGTCACCACACGTTCCGGATAGCAGCACACGAACAGCGGAATGGCTATGAAACTGTTCACTGCAATAACGTCGCCACCGCCTGGACAGAACAAACAGGCGAACTACCATGATTGGCCATTTAGCCATCCTATATATTTACGCAGATGCCTGACCTCACCTGTACAGCCGTGTCCCGGTTTCTTTGTCTTCTTATCGCTCAGTCTGGCAGGGTCAGTTCAGGCGCAATCAATCAGACGACTACCCACGTGCGATGACTGTTTCAGTAGACTACAAAAAACCGTACAAAATGCAAAACGCACGCAGCTGGTGGGTCTGTGTGAAAATTGGATACACTGTCTATCCAGCGTACTGGTTGAAAGAAAATAACGCAACGACGGCAACCGGAAATAGCGTTTCTGCTATCGTTCAAAGATCACCAGTCAAACTCCCAAATGGTCAGTTAGTTCAGATTTGGTTTCAAGGTGACCACCCTATGTGAGGCTTAACTCTTAGATATGTTAGGTATGTCAGCTTTGTTCACCAAACGGAACTGGCAACAAACTCACCAGCCTCACGAACCAGGCTTCCAAGAAAGATGCCCGACAGTGGTGTTTGTTCAGCTGGTTTCAAGACGATCGTGCAGCCAGCCGCCAATGCCGGTGCAAGTTTCAAAACCGCCAGGAAGAACGGATAGTTCCAGGGCACAATACCCGCAACAACCCCTGCGGGTTCTCGTCTTGTGAAGGAAATCATATTTCCATCAACAGGCAGGGTTTTTCCGTGGATTTTGTCAGCATATCCGGCGAAGTAACGCAAAACATCTACTGCAAACTGTGTATCACCAAGTGCTGATGAGACAGCTTTCCCATTATCGAGAGCCTCCAACTTCTACAAGCAATAAACAAGGTAATTACTCACAGCGGCGAACGATTGGACGAGTACCCAGGACATGTAAATTGAAACCGACAACCGACAAAAATATTAATCGTTAAGTGATATTCGGATATGGCGTTGAGCATTTAGATTGTTGCAGAAAGACAATGTTAATACACTCAAGAAAAGACTCCAGCATTGGCAGGTAACATTGCCGTTAGTCCGCTGGTCTGGTTGATTAAGCAGCAAATGGGAAATTTCCGTAGAAAAAAAGTTTAATACATCCCTTTGAATGCTGCATAGATGTTACTGATGTTAAATAGAGTCGTACAGCTTTCAGTCCAGTCAGTGTTGGCTTGCATACTTTATCCCGGGTGATTCTGTTGCTTCAGTCATTTATAATATAGGTTAGAACAATAGGTGTGGAACCTGAATGGAAGTAATCGTCGGAAAAACCAACGACGAAACGAAACGAAAGTAAAAAAGATAGTCTGCTTGTTGCAATCCATCTGGGTGATGAAATGCCTAATATTGCAACTTACTGTCATGATTAACCTGCTTGACAGGGACAATGCAGTGTTTCATGCCTCCAGCATCATCTGTCGCTCGTCGTGGAGATATAACGAAGGCTGGCCAACTTGCAATCATGATTGCATTGATTGAGAACTCGAAGTGTGTAGCAACACAGAAGGCGCATGAAGACACGAACACCTATGATCCCAAAACTGAGTTATGGGCGGTTATGAAACAGGAATAATGAGATTTCAGTCCAAATGTTATCCATACACTTAACGCTGGTATAACAAAGTGGTTTACAAAAACTTCGTGGCAAAAGGGTTGGAAAATACCGCCGAAATCTTTCGATAGGATGTCTCTCCATAGGTACACCGAACTTTCAACTTCTGATGTTTTTACGCCAGTTGATCACGCAGTGGTTTCGTAAGCTCTTGAATTGATTACTCATTGGATTTGTTGCATTTGCTGGCAAAAACCGGGGAAAGATGGATCAGTGGTTAGAGCGCGGATTTACTGACCGGAAGGTCCGTGGTTTGAACCCGACCTCTGCATTTCTTGGGCAACCTGACAGTATCTCAGCCCTTGTGCTGCCTTCGGGTGGCATGGCAGCTAGGTACCGAAATGGTGTTACAGCTGACCGTTTTTGACCAAAATCACTCATTTGGTAGTAATAATTGAGAAAGGAGGGGGTCAACGATTTTGTGGCGGTGTGTAGAGTTGGCTTGTTCAGGTTCCCGATGCGGAACTCTGAGTGACGCCGAATGTTGGCTCAGTAGTGTAGGTTGCGGTCGTCCCTTCGGACGACATTCTCGTGATTCTCATTGGCGGTGCGGTCACACGAAACTCATAAGATAACAAGTCAAGGCTCAGCAAACGGGACACGAACGCGCATGGGTAAGTAGGTCAGCCGCGTACACTCACACACAGACACATGCTAATACACAAGCGTCTGATGGGACGGCCTTTGCGGCAAGGTGAGTGGTGGGTACAAATGAGCAAAACGAGTGGAGATTAAAAGTTCGATCAGTTGTAGCACACTTTCGGTGCCTAACTGCCATGCCACACGAAGGAGGCACGAGGGCTGGGATACTGCCAGTCTAGACAGGGGAAGTCGAGAGACAGAGGTCGGGTTTGAACCACGGACCTTCCAGTCAGTAAGTTCGCGCTCCAACCACTTGGTCCATCTCGCCCCAGATTAAAAGTACCGGAGTGAGCAAATGATTGGGGGGGGGGTGTCGTGAATTCAAGTTAGATTCAATAAAGCTGGACCATGACAACTCAACCTCTGAGGACTGTACCCATCCATCTGACTTCTGATCATTTCAGGGATATGATTGGTGGTTTGCACTTGGATGACTGACGCACTGATTTCATCATTTTGGTAAGCGGTCAGCGTCTCAAAGCCGTGAACCTTTGGTTTCAAAATAAACAAGCAAACAACTACGAAAAGAGGGAAAGGTGATTCCCTGGTTCTCAAAAGTTCAGAAACATTGAAATATGTGTATAAATTTGCAACTCACAGCTATGATTGGGGGGGGGGGTGTCGTGAATTCAAGTTAGATTCAATAAAGCTGGACCATGACAACTCAACCTCTGAGGACTGTACCCATCCATCTGACTTCTGATCATTTCAGGGATATGATTGGTGGTTTGCACTTGGATGACTGACGCACTGATTCCATCATTTTGGTAAGCGGTCAGCGTCTCAAAGCCGTGAACCTTTGGTTTCAAAATAAACAAGCAAACAACTACGAAAAGAGGGAAAGGTGATTCCCTGGTTCTCAAAAGTTCAGAAACATTGAAATATGTGTATAAATTTGCAACTCACAGCTATGTACTCTGCATCTCTCTCTATCAATGAAGCCAATTTACACAGCAAAAGACCACGTTTGGAGGCATCCAGGGTGCGCCAAGGAGTATCGCGCCGGAAGGCAGACTTCGCTGCAGCAACTGCTTTTTTGACATCTTCGACATCGCCTTCTTGAACATGACAAATGACCTCTTCAGTAGCTGGATTGATAGTGGGAAACGTTTTCCCAGAAACACTGTTCACAAATTCATTGTTGATGAAGAGCTGGAACCGAGACAGCCGTCGGTTCATAGAGAAAATTGATGTTGAAAAAATGACAAACAAGAGATGCTTAATGGTAGTACCATACATGAGCTTCCAGTTAGCACGCCATCCCTAATCAAATTATTTGGCACCTATCAACGTCGGTGTATCACTAGTGAAAAAACCTTCCACATAAGTTAGAATAATCACAAATTGTCCATAGCTTATTCTTGACGATGAGAATGTTTTTAACTGCGACCATTCGCAAAAGCCGAAATTCGGCTGACATATAAATGCTACTTTTTGCTTAACCTTGGTTCACCTCAGACAATCTTACTGATTAATTTTGGTACAATTCCTCGTGCGGTGTGAGTAATAATAATATGGGACCACTGGACGCTTTCGAACTTTTGTGGTTCATTTGGTAGGTCTTGTCCCCAAATTTCTCAGGTGGGCTTATCAGGAATTTTCATCGACCTTACATGGACGGAAAACATCTCGATATCCTGAAGACCGCTGCATATGAAACATGAGGCAGCCTTTGCTGGAAAATAGCACAAGCGAGGGATTCAGCTGCGATTCACGTTAACGCTGTCTTAATCTGAAGGTGGAAAAAACTGGAAATAATGATACAGATGTCCTTCGATCACCACTGTTCTATCAGACCACTGGTCGGTCTTGGATGCAGCGATCTCAGCTTCCACGAGATCTGTAGGCAAAACCATTAACTACGGAGGATTTCGGGAGAAAGCTCAGAAAACAGGTAAATTCCAAGTGAGTATTACAACCATGAAATGAGCCACTTAGCTTCAACTAAGGCCAAATATCCTGCAGGACTAATTGTTTAATGTTAGAGAGAGAGTCATGAGAGGTGACATTATCTTGCCCATAAGCTGAAAATTTCACAAAACGATTTCATGATTGAATCCCAGACGGGCATTGGTTAGTCGATTATGCCACCTCCTCGGTGCGCGGCTGGCATACGACGTGAAAAAAAGCACATGGGCTGAGCTGGAAGCTTGCCTAAGCCAAGACGAACCGTTGAGAAGCCAGAAGTAGGAAACCTTGGGCAATGAATCGCTCTGCAACCTTTGAGTATCAAGAGACAGACCAATGGCTAGTTTTCCCTGATTCGTATTGATCGAATCCCCCACCCGACTGTGCTAGTAAATGTAAACCGGTAGAACTTTCTGTTCCAACACTATGCATTACTAAATAATTGGAGACTATTTTTATGCCCTTAGTATACGATACCAGATCCAGATGAGAGAATTCGTTGAGGTGAACAGCGACAGCTTCGCAAAAGTCACTGGGGGTATTTTGTGGTGTTAATAACCTCGAACAATTACCTCATCAGAACAGGTTTCATGCGCATTCACAAGGCAGTTTCTGAATTCGCCAAATATTCGAGTACTACGGTGTTCTACGGCTTAGGTTACGCCAGAATGTCCATAAATGATTACAAACTATGCAGGTCAGACACAGATGTCCACAACACCGCAATCATGAGATAGATTTTTCTAGTTAAGAAATTCGGGTAGCTCCAATCATAATGAAACAGTTGTAGCGCTTTGTAAAAATTTCAGCAAGATCGAGGATAAATACTGCAATGGTGCGTAAATAAAGTGCGGAAAAACAGCTTCCCATACAAAGCCAGCTCACCCAAAAAGTGTGGTTGAATGGTGTGACAACGAACGGACGAGTGCTATCCGATCAAGTGGAAGGAAGGATACCGACTTTTATCGAATGTCTAATGAATACTGGATGAATGTTTAGTGAAATCGTACAGCCGACTGTGCCACATTTCTCACCTTAAAAAGTTGCAGACTTTTGTATGTAGTTAAAATCGGCCTGGGTCTTTCTGGGGCTTTGACTGTATAGAAAACTTTGAAGTCGGTCGTACGTGTCCATTTGTTGCAGAATACGCCCCACCGAATACTACTGAATACCAGACTCTCATGTATCGCACCCATAGACTTTGAATTTGGGGCTCTCCAGTACCCCAGTTCCTCATTGTTTACAGTGCCACATGGAGTTCTGGAGTGAGTTAACTCAGGTAAATACATTCCATCAATGGGCGCGCTTGACAAATAGATAGTGGATTCGAGTGGATTGTGTTCCGTCAACGTTATCTGTCGTTATATAAGTAACACAAGACTTAATGGTAAAAGGCTAGACATAGGCCACTGAAATCGAACACCATCCTGCATATAGAGCATACTGCTCCTCACTCGCCTAACTTTGAAGTTTTTGGCGTGAGGCGGTGTAATTCGGAGCAAGCTGCGTCGTGTTTCACCCTAATAAGCCCGATCTTGGTGTGGCTTTTGAATGGTTTGGGCCGTTGGTCCACCCGGTATATACACAACGCACCCCATGCTATTACTTCCCCGACTTTACTTGGCAGCCATAATCTACCAGTAATACATACTGCTTGTCTTAGAACTGTCTTTTCCTTTTCCTTCCAGCCTAAGCAAGCTGAGGTGCACTTATGCCGGTTCATAGATTACTTTGTACAAAACGATATTATTTACCCTGCTTGGAAATCTATTGACCCGAGGCAGTCTGCAAATGCCAAAACGGGTATCACCTTCGTAGTGTCCTGCATCTCGGTAGAAAATGAATGTTTTCCTGTGACTAGCTGTTTGATCTGTGAGTTAAACTTAATAAGTATCCACAAACTTCTCGTGGCATTCTTGCCCTGAAACTAGTTTCTGGAAGATGCGAAATGCTCCCAAACAAGGTCAATTCTGGCTACGTTATTTGGTCAGTTAGTTAGGTGATTGGCGTACTGTCAGGAAGGTCAAATTCTTGAAGATTAGCCCAGAATACCCGAAACCTACTGAGACCCTCAAACTCCACTCCAGGCAGTCCTGGAACAAGGTTAAATAGCGCCCCACCAATATATGATTCGAGACCGTTGTATCTTCGCACTCCCACTAGCTTGTTGCAATGAAGCTGTTGTGTTCCCTGTCGGCACTAGGCACTGGAACGGGGACAGCAGTCAGACTTACAGACAGATTAAAAAACGCGTGATGTTCGCACATCGAAATTGATTGGCATTGCTATCGTTACACTTGGGTTAATTACGTCAAGACCTTCCACCATTCGCCTCATCGATCGCGAAATCAAATAAGATTTGAGAGTGGGCATTTCTGATGGACACCACCTTGTGCATGGAAGCTTTCGGAGAGCTTGGAATTCTGAAAAAAAACTTATGTTCACAAACACCCAGGGCATTCTGATGAGCAAGCGTGCCAAGGACACGCCGGTCAACTGTGTGGAATACGCCTAGGAATTCCAAAATTGTCGTTCGTTTATATATATGGTGTTGTTCTGACACCTGAAGATTTGGTCAACGCAACCCAGGCCGGAATCCCGCTTGCTAAACTGCAGTCAGTGTTTCACGAGCCACCATAAGGTGACAAAGGGAAGTGACATCAACAGTCTCGTTACAACCGAGGTCAAGTTGACCTTCCTGTGTTTATCGCATTTACTGTGAGTCCCCTTTTTAGAAATGAACACTGATCGATTCTGCTGTTGTCTGGGACAGTTTACTTTCCTCAAAGAAGGCAAACAGACCAGACAAGCGCAGACTGAGGGTTTCTCCCCCACCTTTGAACAATGAGTGTGAGAGGTCCTAAGAATCAGGAGCACGGTGGTGCTTGAGAGAGGATATGTGGTCATAAACCTCCGAAGGTGTAGGGGGGGGGTCCAGATTAATCGTCCATGACCCTAATTCAGCTGGATTCAAATGAATGGCGGCAAGTGACCATGAAATTGCTGTTCGAAGTATTCGGTCCAGCAGTCGAGGCGTCCTTCTTTATTCAAATGGTCTCACTTATGCATGCGGTAGACAAACAAGCACTCGATTTTCTACTATCACAACCTTCGCCAGCTGGCTTCTATTAAGCCAGCTATCTGAATAATTAAACGTTTATTTGTCAACAGACCAAATGCACGTCCGATAAACAACCTACTGAAAAGTGCACAAACTGCTCTAACTAGGTCACGCCAGTCGGAGGTTGAGAGAAGACTCCTCGCACCGAGAGTTGTTTGTTGAAGTATCAACTGCATTAGAAATGAAGGAATAATGGTTAGTCGATGATATGAACCACAAAAACCTTAAGTTGTCCACCCAACAAGATTGATGGATATCGTATGATTTCATTGATGGTTCGAGACACTTTCTGATATGGTGCCACATCGCAGTTAATGGCGAGCTGATACGCCAACCCTAAGAAGTCGTTTCCAGTTGCTACCAACATGTCTATTTATGCAGCACCTTTCGTCCGTGGTTATACAGCTCAGCGAGAGCAAGTGCGAGGCTCAAGAGACATTGGAAATGTAAAGTTAAACTGGTTCTAGAATACTGAGGTCATAGATGCAATTATGGGTTCGCCATAGAAAACCACAATGGAAAATATGCGTGCTAGCAAACGTTACACTATCTTGCCGATCTACACTGTCGAATGCTTAGCATAAGCGCCCCTCCGGTTGATTGTCCAAAACCTGCACTATTTGAGAAAGGATTCGTTATGTCTATTGCTCTTAGCCGAACTATACTCGCCCCTGTTATCGGTGGGATTTAGCTCAGTGACAAAATGGACATGACAACGCGCCTTCCATATTTGCTCACCTGAGTAAACCTGACCTTCGGGTTTGCGGCCATCGGACGCGGAAACGACACTGCAAATCACGCTTAGATTTGCCTGAACGGAACACGTCTAGTCACTCTATAGGACGTATGAGCCAATCAATTGCAAGGCCAATAAAGTCAGTGTTCTTATTGGACGAAAATATGCCATCCACCGACTCCAGGTTTAATTCGGTTGGACTAGATCGATCGGCGCGGGGTCGATGTAAGAAGACAGCGGACAGCAGGCCACAGTCAGGCAACGACACTGAGAGATTTAGTTGGGAGTCAGTGCAGTCGTCTTCCATTAAGGTCAGATTAGTTTTCACGTCCATATCACTCTCGTTTGAACAGTCCTCTCCTAACCCACCTATTCTGATGTCCACACCTACGGGAGGAAATAATGTCCTCGAGTTTCGCTCTTATTAATGTTCATCAGCAGTGCATATCCTTGGCCGTGCCGGAACATCTTACTACAACGGTAACCTACGGGAGGAAATAATGTCCTCGAGTTTCGCTCTTATTAATGTTCATCAGCAGTGCATATCCTTGGCCGTGCCGGAACATCTTACATACAACGGTAAAAGACGAAACACGCAGTGGCTGAGCAGACTGTCAAAACAAAACATACTGTTGACCCGATGTTAGTTTTCGGAATCATCTATTGTCTGCCGTCCCAGCATTCTGTAGGCCTTCGATTAGGAATCTTGACTAACTGAGGCCATCGCAGTTCGCCTATACGATACGGTTTTGTGCAAACGAAAGCAGCTTTTTCGAAAGCTCAGGCTACCGTGGCCAAGCCAAGAAAACTATTTATCTGTCGGACTACCAGGTGGTCCGGTAGTCATTGTAATAGGTACACATTCGGTTGGCTACTTGCTGCTTCCAGTCACGTGAAATCGATAAAATTTTCGACCATTGTTTTCTCGTCCTATTTTACCCTACGTGAAGTGCAAATGCACCAAATTGTGGATGATTTTGCCTAAATGATATCGACACTCCCTCTGACTTCAATCCCACGATCCATCGAACACGACAACACACCGGTGCAGAAGAGTCATATGATTGGGAGCGCATCCGATCGTTTGCGGGATGTGGTATAGGCATACCAGTTGAAGTGGGACGGGTGAAACGTCGGTTTGTCGACGAGCGCACAAGGAAGAGCGAATTCGGTAAAATTGATGCAGTATCGCCAACCGGACGATCGATAGCTACCGATGGCTTTCAAGTTCCAACAGGTTGTGACAAATTGCCAGTCTTTTGGCTTTCAAGTTCCAACAGGTTGTGACAAAATGCCACGGCTCTGGTGGAAAGAAGAGTTTCTTTGAATCTGCGAGCATTCGTTAACATCAAGAGTTCAACAACTTTGCAAACTGCAGATCTACGGTTAATTTTACCATAATTCTGTGCAAATCAAGGCGTATCGTTTTGAGCGCTTCCACTTCCACAGAACTCCAGAACTCCGAAGAATAATTAAATCCTTTGTTGGAATAGCTGACACTCAAATTTGGCGATCAAAATTTGACGAGTTATCGGTTGCTTTCATTGGACTGGGGAAGGCTTATCATAATGTAACTTTCTGATTGAAGGAAAATGTAGAGAATCTGTTTTCAGCTTCTCTGCGAGCTGTTGGTAGCACCACCAGCCTCAGAGCCTGTCGAACAGGAAAACGTGGAGTTTCGATTAACCGATTGCAGCTATTCTAGCTCTATCCTTGTTTCCGCTTTCAGTGAAGATGACAGCTCTATCTCCATTTGATATCATATCTGCCAGGAGAATGTGTTCAATCACTACCACACCCACTTCTCAGCACGTGCTCTATAGGCAAATAAATGATATCGCTTTGGGATCCTCGTTGTCAATCATCTTGAAATATATAGGAGCCAATACCAAACATTACTTTGTCCATACTCCACGCGTGAGGTGTGTCGGTGAGGTTTTCACTACCGTAATATCAACCCAAAAAGACGCCTTTCTGAACCACCACAGGGAACAGCCTACCGATGTCAGGCTCATGATGGAGAACTAGATTCAACATGGAATTATCAAATTCATAGTTTGAAGACTATCGGTAAATGAAAATTATGTCTTTGTTATAGGCATCCATCGAAAAAGCACAGCTAGGTTTCTGCAATATGACTGTTTACACTCACTTCACCAAATGTACAGCTGTTGCTTCGTTAGTGGATCGAGTCAGAAGACCTTGCTCGGACGGCTCTCAAAAGGAGAACGAAATTCTCAGATTGAGGAAAAACTACGGGAAAACAACTGTCCTGAAGCGCTAATCGGACGACAACATGAGAAACCGAAGAATAGTAAATAGCAGAACGCAAACTGAATGCCAGACTTCCACTTTGAGTAACCAGAAAGAGAAGGAAGCTTTAGCGTGACTGCCACAGTCTTGGTAGAATCATCAGAACCCACTCTCCAATCGGGATTCCGGAATATGTGCCGAAGCTTTGGAAATCAACACGCGCTCGACTAGCGTCGACAACAGCGATTAGACTAATCTGCCTTCGATTTGGATTGGTGTGGCCACAACAGCCCGGTAACTGAACGCACACAAATCGGCCCGTCGACCTTGTCATAACAAACACACGACAAACTCAGTCTAACTTATTCAGACGATGATCAAACCAATCACCATACAATATGTCTGACCCATTTTCTGCTTCGTACAGTGTAGCCGTTGGGTCAGAAAACCCCTTTTCATTGATAAGCCATGCTAAGCGAAAGGCCAGGACTGTGGTGGCATTATCTACGGTGTTGTTGGGATTAAGGAACTCTCTAATTACACTTCAGACGATGCCAAAACTTTTCGATGACATCGAGGTCAACTTCGACACAGAATGCTTAAACCATGCTCGGTCAAACTTGTGGGATTAAATGCAATGACCGTAGTAGAACAAAATGGCGTAAATAACTTGAGTAAGTCGTAGCTGTTCCAAAATAGGGCTAACACACTAAAGAGCCGGTTAAAAATGGTCTTTATGTGGGGTTGGTCTTTCCCAGTGTGATTAACAGTCCAAAGTTCTTAGAGCTTTACCATCGGGAATAGAACAACTACAAAATAACCCTCCAGTCTGTGACGGTAATATCTTTCGTAGGCCAAAACAGGCATGTGGCCTGAGGAATTTGCCGTGAGAGCGGTTAAAGTCATAGCAGATAAAGTGGTTGGATTGTAACTACAAAACTCCGAAATAATGATCTCTACAAAACAAGTCTTAATCTACCTATTTCGGTTTCGTTCCACTAAGTGCTTTATGTAACACGGACCAAAGTGTAATTCGTCACCAAAATCGCCACCACCAGTTGGTGGAAAAATTGTGTAGTTTTGAGTAGGTGAACCAAATTAGGAGTATTACCGGAGATGGAAACTTAGTCGTGTAACTTTGAAATTGTTTCTGCTTGTAGACCGTGTTTTAAGTGGAAGAGTAGTTTGGGTAGCTTAGAATCGATTAACTGATCAAGGCACTAGGTGGGCTTGTACCTAACACTCACGGGATTCACTAAATCCACTATGGATGGATAGCGGAAACCAATAAGTAATGAAGGGTAGGGACAAATGCAACAATACATCCGAAAAAAGCAGCATAATCATCAACGTTTTGATGGAGTTAGTATGGCATGGCGACTGAAATTCAGCTGTGCAAACAAGTAAAAACAATGCACGTACGCAGATGTCATATTTAATGCTTTTATTAAGTGATCAGGCATGGCGACTGAAATTCAGCTGTGCAAAAAAGTAAGAACAGTGCACGTACGCAGACACCACATTTAATGCTTCGGTGACCGATGCTGAACGTAAGTCAACTGAAGTCTGCCCTTTGAGGGAATTGTGCCTACGAGGGGTTCCATAGACAGGTGACCGATGCTGAACGTAAGTCAACTGAATTCTGCCCTTTGAGGGAATTGTACCTACTGATGAGGGGTCCATAAACAACCAACATTTACTCTGACGTGAGGTTAGTTTTATCGAGGTGAAGCACAGGTGAACAGATTGTAGTTATGTTATTACAACTTCGAGCAGAGTGGTTGACAAATCTCAAGTGAAATGCAAGATGGCTTGGATCTTAAGTTCGCAATATGTCACTAGGTCACATTTCGTTGAATAGATCTGAAAAAATTCTCATGGAGCAGGTGCAGTGCATTTTGAAGGCAAGTATTATCTACGGATTGACAACAGTGAAAAAACGCACCTCTAGTATCGAGAAAGAAGCTGTTTCAAGCTCTTTATCATAAAGTTGCAGGTGAAAGTACAGTAACCTCGTTGAAGAAAGTATATAGGAAGTGGTCCCCTCCTTACGGTGGGCGGAAATCTCGGTCATGGAGAGAGGGTAACACGCCGAAATCTCACCAGAAACATTTCATAAGGTGGTGCTATTTTTAATTAGCCACAAGGTGGCCGTTAGTCCACACGTAATGCACAACACCAAAAAGAACGGTATGCTATAGCGGAACCAGTGCACATCCATCCAAGCGACCGTCAAAGCTGAACAAAACGCATAAAGGCAGCCAAAACGTGTGTAGATGTGCTGCATAGAATACAAATGTTCGATAGGAAGGATCACGTGACAAGTTCCACTCTGGACTGTCTGGAACGTAGGCTGGACGATATCGTTATTTTAACTTCTTAGCCTATCCCAACCAGTCGCACAGTATTCACAATCGTCAGTGTGTGAACCGAGCTCTGTTGTCACCCAGAGCAGAACTTCAGCGGACACAGTGACACCTCCAAAACTTATCCGAATACTAGCTCGTACTCGAGGTAGTGGAAAAATAAAGAAGCAGATCCTGTTTCAGAACCGAGTGATCGGATGACCATCCAACAGGTTGGCAGATCATAAGTTGATGTGGAAGAGTCAAGTTTTGGATGAGTAGAACTAGAACCCCTATGTACAAAGAAGATAGAGAGAGCTAAGAACAGGGACTTCATAGTGAAAAAGAAACGGCTATTGTTCCCATACTTGACTGACTATTGCAAATCTAGAGATCCGCACGATGCTTTGATCAACTAACACACATCTGTACGGTTCCAAATTCTTCTTCTTCTTCTTCCTGACACGTAAGTG